CTGCCGAGTCACTGCCACCCCACGGACCAGACAGATCGTCTCCAAGCTGGGTGGCTGTGCCACACTTATCACACTGCCACCCCACGGAGTAGACACACAGTCCCAAAGCCGGGTGGCTGTGTCACTCCTGGTCACACTACCACCCCACTGTGCCATCAGGGACACACACACTGCCAGCCTCGGGACCACAGCCATACTCATGTTTTCTCCAGCTGCTGTTTGGAGGGATCCCTCCATCTTTCTCCTCAGCCCATCTCCATCCAAAAGTTCTGCTGAGTATCACAACCACACACAAGCCTCCCCTGGGGAGAGGGGCCAGGTAGCCCCACATGACAGCAGCTCCCCCCCAACCCCCCACCCCTGAGCCACCAGTGCCTCCAGAAAATCCAGGACGAGACTAAGTGGGGCTGGGCCAGAAGGAGCCGCAGCACAGCATAGGTTAGACACGTGGTTGGTAGAGGAAAGATCAGCAGTTCAAACCCACCAACCTCTGCACCAGAGGAGGATGGAGAAGCCACTTCCTTCGAGATTCTAGCTTTGGAAACCCTCACAGGCAGCTCTGTCCCATCTACCGGCCAGGAGTTGGGACCCTCTTGACAGTGGTGTGCCTGGGTGTGGGCCAGGACAAGGAAGGAGTGAGCAAGCAAAACCCTCAGAAATCAATCTCTTTCCATCGCTGACCTCAAATGACTGGCCCCAGACCTGTACCCCAGGCCACCACCCTACTCACACCATGGAGAAGGAAGCCAGACCAATGAGGGCAGACAACAAGGGCCACAGATGCACAGGGATGTACAGTGAAAAGAACCAGTCTGTTTTTGTTGGTTGATTTTCAATGGAGGAGACCTGATTTCCCAAAAACAGTGGACAAGGAAGGGCAAGAGCAGCTTTCCAGAAGGTGCCGGGACTGTGGCCACCAAACCAATCCATCACACAAGGCTCCTGCCAACCCCAATCACACAAGGCCAGTCACTGAGTCAAGCCCAATGACACAAGGCCCTCACTGTGGACACTGAGCAGATCCCAGAGACACAAGGCCTCTCATACCTCCTTCTAGTTAGCCGCCGTGTGTGTGTGTGTGTGTGTGTGTGTGTGTGTGTAACTGACCACAAGAAAACCCTCACTGAGCCAAAGCAGTATGGGGACCAGGGTCAAGAAACCCTATGTCCTCCAAAGACCAGCCTCAGACCCAAATGGGTCTCTATGACTGCACACCAGGCATGGGTTTGTCACAGTGCAGTGGCTCCCATGGTGCTGGAGGCCATGCTGTCAAGATTTCACATACCAGCAGCCACCCAGGGAGACAGGTTTCAGCGGAGCTACTACACTAAGACTAGGAAGAAAGGCCTGACTATCTACATTCAAAGCTGGCTGGTAAAATCCTCTCCCTATCCCCCCATCCCACCCCGTCACCACAGTCACGTCTGCTTCAGTGCTGGGAGCAAGACCCCAGGTGAGCCAGAGTTCAAGCACAAGGTGGCCACAGCTCACGCCAGGGCTCAGGAGGACAGGGCAGGGGGGGTGGCTAACAGTGAGAGTGAGCACTCAGAAAACGACAAACACCCCCTTACAGGAAAGATCGAGAGCAGGAGATCGTGCAGAGACCAAGGTGGTGACCAAGACTTGGGGGCAAAGGGCCCAAGTGCAGGGCTGCTAACCAGCAGAGCGACAGTTCAAATCCACCAGGACCATGAAGTGGACCCATTTCCCCAAGGCCCACCAGGACCATAAGGTGGACCCTAACCATAGCCCCTGGGGCCCAGAGGTCCACCAGGACCATAAAGTGGACCCCAACCATAGCCCCTGGGTCCCAGAGGTCCACCAGGACCATAAGGTGGACCCCAATCACGGCCCCTGGGTCCCCCGAGGCCCACCAGGACTATGAGGTCCAGCCTCCTCCACAGTATCAGATCTTTGATTCTCACCAGATCTTGGGAGCCCTATTGCTCACGTGGGACTGCAAGATGGACCCCAACCATGGCCCTGGGAACTGAGGCCCACAGAGGACCATGAGCAGCAGATCTTTGGCTCCTTGAGGTTTTCCTATACCTCCACCCTAAACTCCTGCTGACGAGTCACAAACTCACTTTGGTGCTCCCACTTTCAGAATTTCTGGAAAGTGTATAGTCCTCTCTCTCATCAACTACATGCCCATGCTGCAAAGACCATGGACATTCCTGTGTGCACCTACCACACAGAGGAAGAGGCTGGCACCTAGCAGGGACCTACATCCCACACGAGGACTGTCCCCCTGGACTGATGGGGGGGTTGCCATGGCTGCAAAGGACAAGTCCGCAGAGACTCCATGTTCCAGAAGGGTCCATCTCTGCCCCATGCTCACTCACTGCCATCAAGTCGGAAGCCACTCAGAGGAGACTCCACAGCGGGTTTCTCAGGCTGCAGGCAGCACAGGACCAGAATGATGCTCTGTCTCCCGAGGAGCCACAGTGGATCTGAACTGTCAGCGAGATGCTGTCTCTGGGGGCCTGCAATGGCAGCCCAGCCGCTTCTCAGCTGCACCCACGCCTAGCAAGGTGAGAACTGGGTACTCTGTGAAGCACCCCGAGATCAGGTCACCAAAATCCGTGATGGAGTCAAGCCCAGCTCACACCATGTGTGCGGAAGAATTCATGCCGCCGACGTGTAAACGCTGGCATAGGCCCTGAAGGAGGTCTTCAGGCCTTTCCTCCAAGGCACTCTGGACAGACTTGAACCCCCAACCTCTGGATTAATAGTGAAAGGTGTTACCGCCTGGACTCACAAAGGCCTTCAACTCAGAAACCCAAGCCCACTCATACAAAGAGAACTCCCAAGTGTTGAGACTGGGTTCCCACACCTGCTGAGATAAAAGGTGGTTAAGCGGCCAGACACGTGAGATGGGTACGCCGGGGCCTGCAGGTTACAGAGCTAACTCTGTGGAACTTAGAGAACACTTGTCATATTGGGAAAACCTGTTGTCAAGGACTTCTCCAGAGAACTAAAGAACAAGGATGTCAATTTGGAGACTAAGGTGCACCTGATTCAGGTCTTTTCAACCATTTGCTATGTATTTGAGAACTGTACAATATATAAGAATGACAAAAGAACTGATGCCTTTGAACTATGGTGTTACAGAAGAGTACTGACTGCCAAAAACACAGATATGTCTTGGATAAGGTGCTGATTGCTCCTTAGAGTCAAAGATGGTAACACTTCACCTCACACACTTTGGGCATGTTGTTAGGAGAGGTTATTCCTCAGAGAAGGAATCAAGCTCGGAAAGGTAAAAGGTCAGTGAAAGAGAAGACCCTCCAACAGAAGGATTAACACAGTAACAACTGCACTGGGCTCTAGTGTGTCAGAGATGATGGGATGGCACAGGATAGAACAGTGTTCAGGTCTGCTGTTCAGAGTAACTGTGGGTGGTACTCAACTCAACAGTACCCAAGAAGATAACAGACATGGGACCTCGACGACATTCAGAGAAGGATCCAGGAAGTCTTAAATGAGAGGTCCAGGTGTTGAGGAAAAGAAGCAGCCAGGGTGGACAGGCCCTGTGGCCCCAGAGGGTCTGGCCCTATCTATAGAAGGCCAGCCGACCAGTCCTTGAGAGTGGCAGGCAGTTGGCTAGGCACCTGTGGACTGCAACTTGGACAATAAGGCAGCCAGAACCCCCACCAGCAAGAGAGGCTCACTTCTGTGAACACCTTTCACCTCCTCCTTCATAGCACTCTCTTCTACCATGGTACAGGGCCAACAGCTGGACAGGTCAGTTTCCAGAGACACAGAGCAAGCTTCCAGACCCCAAATAAGCTGATGTGCCTGCAAAGTGGCTTCTAAATCCTTCAGCCTTCCACCTACCAATCAGGGAATTAAGAGAGCTCGGCCAGAGGCCCAGGAGACACAGCTGCCAATGGAAACCTGCGGCTCCAGGTCCCAAAACAAGCAGGAGGGGGTGCTGGCTACAGAAAAAAGCCAGCTTCCCAGAGCCAAAAATAGCCCTCCAGTTTCCAAGAGGATTCTGGTGACCTAAGCACAAAAACCCATCAGCAGAGATGGGGAAGCAGGAACCAGGGCACCTGCCCTCAGGCCCCACTCTGATCAGGCCCCTTGGCCATCCAATCAACTGCAAGGGACACCTGACCCAGCACAGAAGTTCCCAGAGGCTAGACCATCCACTTGGGGCCTAACTCAGCCTCCAGGCGTCTGGAGGAGGGGACTGGAGCCAGCGGTGAGTAAGATGGCAGCCAGGCGGGACAGAACCCTCACCCCTCCCTCTGGCGGAGCTCTCCTGTCTCATTTTCCTTCTAATCCACCTTCAGTGGTTCTGACATGTACCCGCGTGGGACTTGGGCCAGCAGGTCTTGAGTTCCCCAAAGGTGTCACATAAACCCTCTAGCACAGAGGGGGGTTTGTGTGTTTAATATCCCAGCCCAGGAAGCTAGCTAGCACAGATGTCTCCACACACACCCCACCCCTCTGACAAGCCCCATTCCACACGGTGGGCCTGGGGGGGGTGGGCAGGGAGGCCAGCTCAGTCAGGTGAAAGGTCACTAGGAGTCCTTTCCCCTCCACAATCTAAAGAAGCCTAAGCCGCTGGCCAAACCTGTGTGTCACTGCTGATGGTGTCTGTAGACACCTGACTGACCAGGCCTCTCCCCTGAGGCCTCTGTGGCAGGCTGCAACTTCAGCTTTTTGCTTTGCAATCCAGTGACTGGAAGTTTGCGTCACCTGGGGATACACCCTCCATGGTCAAAACACCAAACACTGCTGAGACGCCTGGTGTGCTCACACACCTGCCACCAATATTTCTCTGACGCTGGGGGTGGGCTGGAACCACCAACCCTCAGGCTACACAGTCAGGCAGGAAATGGTCGTCTCTGCTCAGGGCTGTCTGTCCACAACACAGACCTGGGAAAAATCAACTTAAAACAGTGCCTTCTATGTTTTCCCACTTCCCTCTTCGACCCCTAACACCAACATGGGTACAGAACAACCTAAGTTGGGATGTTGAGACCCACCTGGATCTCCATGTAGGCTGTCCCCATCGCTGGGCCAGATCTGGCCCGTCTTTCGGACACCGACGATGGTGGCCTCAGACACAACCACCTGGCCCGGCCGGCGCCGCTTCTGGCACTGCGGGGTTGGGGGGCTGCTGCTCTCCAAGGACTGCTGCGAGTTCTGGGAAGGAGAGCGGCTCTTGTCGCGGGCCATGCGGTAGGTGGTGGGGCTGGGGGACACACGGCTGGACTGGCCCGAGGAGAAGTCCTCCTCGCTGGAGGTGAGGTTTTCGTTGGAACTGCAGTCTGGGGTGTAACCGCCGCCACTGTCTTCGAAGCTGCGTGGGGAGTAGGACCTGCGAGGCCAGGTGAGCCGCTTCTCGGCCTCCGAGGCGCTCTGGCTGCGCAGAAGTGCACCCTTGCCCTCGCCCTCGCCCATCAGGCCCCCGACGTAGACGCTCTGGTATGGCTGGTACTCCAAGGCCGGCCACGGAGGCCTGCCGCCGCCGTTGGCCTGGATCAGGTTGTCCTTGAGGAAGCGCGGGTTGAGCTCCGCGTCCTCGTAGTCGCCGTCCAGGCCGCAGCCGCCCTCGGAGGCCCGCGCGCGGTGCGGGGGCCTGGGCGGCTCGCCGGCCCCCACGCCGGACTTCTTGCGCTCCAGCTGCATGGCCTGGGTGCCCAACGCGCTGATGCGCTCCGACACCTCCTTGTCGTTGACCTTCACAAGGCCCCGCTCGTGGTGGAACTCCACGTTCACGTAGAAGGGCTTCTCGGCGTCGCCCCCCGCTGGTCCCGCGCCCCGCCGCGCCCGCTCGAAGTTGGAGCGCAGCGCCGCCACGGTGCGTGTCGCCGCCGGCCTGGTCTTCGGGGAGCCCTCGCCGTCGGGGCGCGACTCGGGTTCCACGGCGGTGGACTCGGGAGGCACGGGGCGCGGCGTGCGGGGCTCAGCGGCGCCGTCCGGGGGCTGCGCGGGGCGCCGGAAGCCCCAGCGCTGGCGGTCGTAGCTCTTCTTCTCCTTGGCCAGCAGCGTCTGCAGGTAGATCATGCGAAAGCGCTCCTGGTTCACCTCCTGCTCCAGACGCCGAATGGAGGCCTTGCAGCGCTCCAGCTCCTGCTCAATGTCCCCCACCGAGCGCAGCTCCATGCGCGGCGGCGCCGAGTCCGGGAACTGCGCGCGCCACGCCTCGGCGAAGCCCACCGGGTCCACC